TTTGTACGTAGTCCAAACAGCGCAAACAGGACATCCACACTTGGCATGCCAATAACACGTATTTACGAGCTTTCGCTTGTTTGTGTATGTGTCTTATTTGTGCAAATATGTCAAATGAAGACGAATAAATACACCACACATGGTATTTGGCCGAACACAACAAATAAATGCCAAGTGAAGTGCCACCTATACAATAAATACGGTTCAAAAGCCATTGTTAAGACAGTGGCCATTGTAAGAATAGAGAAATGTCGTTATATTACGGCCTTATTCTTAAGGCCATACATCTGCTGAGAAAACGTTCCGCCGCATCTGACCATATAAAATGAATCAACGTTTCCGATACTATACTTATATGGAATTAAATGCTGTTTATTCCTTGGTTGGTTTCATTGATTTTGAATGTAAAATTTGTTTAATCAATAACGCGTGAACACAAAGGTTTTTTGTTATTGTTGATAATTTGAAAGTATTGAATCTTACGTAAGAATAGCACAGATTTAAAAAATATTATTTTTGAATTTGGAATACAAGCGGAGTTTGCACGAAAGTGTATTTTATTATCCAATTTTATACTAGTATATGATAAAAATATTGTATATAAAAACATATTATTTTACTTATGCGAAACTAAATTATATAGTTTATTGTTATTAACATTACAAAACTGTTTTGTATACATGCAAATTATCATAATAATTGTAGACATCAATATGGCTCTAGCACATTGCTAAGTAAGCAAGTGATTCACACATGGAAATAGATTCAAGTATAACAACGGTCAACGCACTGGGGGCGCTCATGACGAAAAGATATAATAATACTGTATTGTCACGCAATAATATATAACATTTTTTATATTCTAAGACGAATAAATACAGCCGCGTTCTAATATTTTCGATTTGAAAGCGAAAAATTACTAGACGTACATAAATGTCACTTCAAAAAGACAAATGGAGAACTATAATTAAGAACGTATTAAAATGTTAGTAAAAGCGGAATTATTAAAATGATCGCAGATTAAAAACAGAGTTTTAAAACTGCCGCAACTTGATCTTAGACCAGATTTATAAAAAAAGTATATTTTCTATGCTCAATTTGCTTTGTTATGATTCGGTTCTATTTGACGCCCGTCACATGAGTCGTCTATTAGCAGACGAGAGATCACCTGTAACACTATATTGCTCATTCACAAGTTAATTACAAACATGAATATATAATAAGTGTGATACGAAATATATGTCAGCGTTATAAACTAAACCCGTTTAGATATTATCATAATATACACACTATTTATAATAAAATCTAGCCACAGCTTTCTAATTCTCGTATTCAAATTAAATATAATGATAATGTTCGACAACTATAAACAAACTTTAGAAATTGAGAATATTATAAGAAAAACTTTTGTTTAAAATTCTTAACGCGATAAATAAAGTCCAAACAGTCGTTAGCTTTGACTTATCTTAGTCTCATTGTGGACGCTATTGGAACTTGGAAGTGATAACTGAATACATACAAGCAATAAATATTTACCACACACAAACCGCAGGTTAGTCACGATACAATTAAAATTATTATTAATAAGATACAATATTCATAAATTATAATTCCTGGATTGAATGTAATAAACTAAGGTGTAGCCAAACGAGTTCGCGTGATACATCTAACGGAATATCAGTTGCTTTCATTCAATAAACTAATTAAATACAACAATATTTGGCTACCAAAAAACTTTAGCGTCACAAGAAAAATATACTCACTTGTAAAAGATATCCTTTCTATATAGCACACAAATATATGTTGTTGATGTCACAAATATCACAGTAATTTAAAATGAATTAAAAATAAATTAAACTTTATCCTTGTTTTGTCAATGCGACTGTCCCGTACGCGTTCTTGTTTCTGACTGATGACGTGAATCAAGCATGGAGTCGCTTTGCCGGTCGGCTTGCCCTTTGAGTTGTAGAAAGATCGTAAAGAAGTCACATCCTGCTCAGATTTAACATTCTTATTACTTGTTAATACAGGCGATAATCGCTTGCATCTGCCATTGAAGTTTCGCTCTACATACAAATTGTGTATGCCACGGCCATTTACACATTTCTTTTAAGTAGAGAGAAAAGGCGAAAGGACATCGCGACTTAATACTTCAATGTTGATTTGATTTTTGTTATAAAAATGCATTGTTTTATGTACAAACTAATAATTCATTAACGATACATTGATGGAAAAATCTCGATTTATTATGAAATGTCCTTGAAAGAAATTGAGAGTATCCGTTAAGTTATAAAGATAAACGTCTAAAAACCATTGCTATAATAATTTAAAAAGTTTCATAGACATAAATTGTTTGCTAGTTTTGCGTTTTGAAACTGTAAATTAATATTACTGTAACATAGATAGCAATAAAAATTATAGACAACATTTTTAATATGCACGATGTTTGTATATTACTTCATAAAACTAATGGCTAGGTGAAGTGAAGAAAGTAATTTCCGCGGAAGATTTTGACCCATTTTTTTACATAAGTACGTGACTAGGAGTAAGTTTACCGCTCTATTTTTAAAGTATTAAAACCATTTACGATATGAATTTTAAATATATTAAATATTCGTTTAAACAGCTGCTTCTTTATGATATAACAAATAATAAATGATATTCCGTGGATGCGAAATATCACAATTTACTTAATATGTATGAATAAGAAAAAAAAAGGTTGGAAGGACCAAAGTTTTCGGTATAATCTTGTCCTAATTATCCAAAGTGATGATGAAGCGTGTACACACGTGGACCCGAGAGCAAATAGTTTTCTACTCGGTTGGATGCTGCGTGTAACGATAACTCGTCTGGAATAAAATGGGGTGGCCATAAGTTGCAAGGAAAAAAACTTTAATAATATAATAGCTTCTTCTTCTTTCTGGTAATTTCCCAGCTTTAGCCAGGGTCTGCCTTACATGTTGTGAATAGTTTTGGCTAATTGTTTTTATGACTGGCCGCCTGCCTGACATCAACCCTCTTTGGGAATATTTATATTAATAATAATAATTTAATTAATAATATAACATATCCTTTGCATATGCACTGAGAGGAATTGGAACAGTTTACAATTGAAATGTCGTTGATCTAAGTTAATGGGATTTACTTAGATAGTGCACACACTACTTATGGCTTCAGTTTTACTTAACATCTTTGAAATAAGATATAAGTAATATCTAGAATCTAGATAGTATTAAAAACGTTTTTAAATTCTATTCTAACATAAAGTTAAAAATATTTAAAAGTATAACAACAGCTAAGAGGTTTCTTTTTAAGATGTATACACTTATTTAATTATATTATTTTCTTTATATATAATTTCTAAGTGTATTAACAGACATCAGTGTAGTTTTTCAAGGCTACGATAATGTTTATAATTAAATATTTAAACAGGTATAACCTATAATACACAACCTTGGACATATAGACACGATATTGTTATTGTGTTGAGAAAGCAGTTTAGACAGGACATTAAAACTATAGCAAGGCCAACGAGAAACGACAATAAATGTAATCAAACTTTCATAACGACTCTTCTCTTAATAGTAAGTAATTTATATATATTTAAAACATAAACAGTGTGTTTTTATACAGGAACAAATTGAACATGTCCTGTTTATAAAAATGGATATTGAGGTTTGAACATACTGTATATAATCCTAATACTATGTTTTAGGAATAAGATAATACATTACATAGTCATGCTTAGTCATAAGAAGTCAATTTATTGATAATACATATTTATTTTCTTTACTTAATAAAAATATTATTATATCTATGTTGTATAGTAATAATATGTAGGTTTAAATATAAATGTCCTTGTTGAAATTATTGTCATCCTATCGTTTTCCTGTGAGGTCCACCTAATTTAGTCGCGCCAATTAATGCAGGGTTTTTAAGCAAGACCTAAAAAACCAACACTTACTGAACTTATGTCTCAGTATATTGCTTAATATTTTCAGAGTTTTCAAATTTAAGAGCTACTTTTAGAATACATTGTTTTCTTTATAATCTGTTACGTAATTTGAAAGTAAACATGAAAAGTAAGACGCCATTTATTTATAGATACTGAATCGAATAAAATGATTTTGAAGATACGTACATCAGAATAAAAGTGATTGATAACGTTTGGACCACGGTTTAGAAAATTATCGTTATTTATCATTGAATCGGTTAATTTATTACTTTCCGGTAAAAGAGAAAAAAACGGTATTTTTAATATAAAATTTCAAATTAAATTGAAAGGCATACACAATATTAAAAATATTATGTTAAATAAATGTATAAAGTAATTTAATCGGGTTTTGTCGAACATGAGAACATAATTTATTTTAGTAGTTCAATACTTGGCAACATTGTCAGGAAAAATATTTTATAAGGATAAATATAGCTGAAATAGCGTAGCACCTAATCTGATATAAATATTTTTTGTTTCTAAATATAGAAATGATTATTCATGAAAGTTTGTGAAGCACGTGACGAGTATATCTCAAGATTCAATGGAAATAAGATAAATACTGGAAATATTCACATTTTCATTAGAATAAGATAGACTTTATAACGGTGCGGTTTGAAGTGCTGGTTTTATTTAAAAAGAATTGTGTTAAGTGACTTACAAAGACAATTAAGTATTTTTGTTTAAAGAAACAAGTAATAAAGGTAATAAAATCGATTTTTTGCACAAATCGAATATTTATATTCTATTGGTGTAATTATCTGTTAATTATAATTGTGCTCTATTAAGTAAAAACCAGTAATGTTTGTTTTTGTCGTAGAAGTCATTAACCTTAAAGACGTATCCTGAAGAGGTGTTGAACGAAATATCACGTATTGATTAGATAAAGAATTCAGAACGGAATAAAGATTATATTAATTACAAAGTTATAAGGGTTGATATCATTTAGAAACAGCTATAGAGTATAGCATAAGCGTGAGCGCAGTTCGGGCACAGAGCCGTCAACATGAGGTCGCTTAGCACTGTCGTGGCCGCCATCTTGTTCACAGGTTTGTTTTCTTTTGCACAATACTTTTATATTTTTGTCCGTCACCGTTTTAACTATTAGACAAAGTGTTGGACTAACGTGATTGGTTGTTATGTTTTAGTGTGTTTTTGCTATTATTTTTAATTATTACGCATAAATTATTCTTTTTTGCAAGGTCGGATTTGTCTTAGTTCGGACTTGAGATATATTTTTATATGTTTTTAAAGAGGAGCGTGGATATGTTAGTAATATTTGTAAGCGGTTAGCGTGTATGTTTTGCCCTTGAGCACGTCAATACCATAACATTTACCATAACGTGTTTTGAATTGATAACGTGACTCGGAGACGAAGTCATAATATGTTTACAGAAGTGACTCGGAATTTTTGTCTGTTTGTTCTTAACGCCATAACAAAGCATGTTCTTTCAATTTAAATCCTTTTATATAACACTAGCTTTCCGCCCGCAGCTCCGCCCGCGTGGAGTTCGGTTATATCGCGTTTCCAAGAGAACCTCTCAAAAGTCTGGGATAAAAACTATCCTATGTTCTTTCTCAAGGTCAACTCTATGTCTGTACCAAATTCCATTAAAATCTGTTCAGTGGTTTAGGCGTGAAAGCGTAACAGACAGACAGACAGACAGACAGACAGACAGACAGACAGAGTTACTTTCGCATTTATAATATTAGTAGGGATTAAAAAATATTTTATAAGGCAGCGCTAAATAGGAATACTCTCACATATTTGGAATTTTCCTCTACTAATAAATGTATGTTAATTAGTGCCACTTGTTAATTTTGAACTTAGGATAAATATACTACATTTATATTATTTTCTATGTTCAAATACTTTGTGGTTAGTTAAGAAACGGTTATATTTGTATGTGTAAATTGTTAATAGGTATGTACTATGTACTATCGTAAATAGTTACGTATTTCTTCTACTAAGTAAATATATTTTTTACATAATTTATACAATTCTTTACGTCGCAATCCTGATAAGATGTGGCAATGTTTTTTTCAATGCTATTTAATATTTAGCTCTTGAGATATAGGATGTTTCGATTGTCACGAAAAATAAGATTGTGTTTGTTTTGCGATCTCTAAAACTGAATACGTAATAAGGAATTTTTACTTCAGTTATATATGTTACACATGAATATAAAACTTATCGTGTTTTAAATAACAATAAAATAAATTATGCAAAGTATACAAAAGGAATTAATTATGACTCATATATATTAGTATACATGAATTAAGAATATTATTAATATATAGGTATGTATATATAGCAGATTTCATTGTATGAGATGTATTCAGCGTTTTATTTCTTTTATAATATTAATAAATTAAAAACATTCTGTATAAAGAAAAATTATAATGATCAGGCATGCCCTATCTTCAATGACTATTTTACAATAACAGAATTAATTTATTAAAGAAAAATTATTTATGAAAAAAAACTTCTAATTGTAAAAAAAAATATAATGGAATAAATAAAATAATTAAAAAAAAAGAATCATCATAAATATTTTTTTATAGGACTAAAATACCAGTATCCTTAATCCAAGTTTCGATCGTGACTACACACGATTCGTTTCACGTTTAAACTCAATAAGTTACGTTAACTAAAGTGTGTTAAGATTTATGAATGATAAACTATTTACGCTCCGTCAATAGTGTCTTCTTCTACCTGGCAATTTCCCAGCTGTAGCCAGGGTCTGCCTTACATGTTGTGAATAGTTTTGGCTAATTGTTTTTACGACCGGCCGCCTGCCTGACATCAACCCTCTTTGGGAATGCATTAATCAGTGATGTCTAAATACTCTTAGAAAGTACATATGACTCGGAAAAATCACATTGGTACTACAGGATCTAACCCGCGCTCTCGTGCAAGAGAGGCGGGCCTTTTAACCACTAGGCCACCACTGACTCCGTAAATAGTGTGACGATGCGAAACTTAGTAAGCGTTTCTCTTCGGTTTATCCGTCTTATTGTATTATAATATATCTTATTACTGACGTATTGTGGATTACTTAGGGCTGTATTTGTAAAACGTTTGACGACGTTGGTTCAATAAAAAAAATTGTCAGTTTAATGACATATGACAATTGACAAGTAACATTCACAGATTATACAAATTGTTAAATTTTATCATATTAGTCTTTAGCTACTAATAAATTCTATTCTAACTTGAAAAACGTCAGATTATTTATATTTTTCGTTTTAAATGTAATTATATGTATATCTGATTGTGTTATACAAAGGTAGACTAGATAAAAATTATCTGTTACGAAATTCTAATGATATTATAATGATTAGTACTATAAATATTTGAATGTCATTATTTATTTGGCTTAACTCGTACAATTTCATTCAAAATTACACAGCTGACAGCTCTGTAACAATATGTAAAATAATATATGTACTTATATAAAGCAATAAAATATAGTACGTCTTTATTACTTTGAGCAAACCATTTTATGATTTTAAAATTATGTACAAAATGACGGATAATTCTGTTGAAGACTTGGAATAGTTTCAGCAATACGTATATCATATAACATGACGATTGACAAGCATTTTAAATTTGAAGTACAATTTCGTTAAAATTAAGAGTTTTCATACAATAAATGATACTACTTTTAAAAAGTAAAATTATTTTATATAAAAAATCTTTGATCACAAATTTTGAATGACTAAAAACATTCCCTTAAAAAATTACTTCACTACTACTTTTGTAGATAGGAAATTTTCCTTTAATTATGTCAAACTTTTCCCGTTTGTTCGAATATACGATATTGAGTAAAGGTTGGAGTTAAGAACTTTTAACGTTATGTGACGATGCAAATTTAGTAAGCACTAGCTCTCCGCCCGCAGCTTCACCCGCGTGGAGTTCGGTTATATCGCGTTTCCAAGAGAACCTTTCAAAAGTCTGGGATAAAAACTATCGTATGTTCTTTCTCAAGGTCAACTCTATTTCTGTACCAAATTTAATAAAAATTAGTTCGGTGGCTTAGGGAGCGTTCAAGTATTACGTAACGCAATTTTGGGGAGGGGGGGTCCCGTAAAACGTTACGATGCGTTACAGGGGCGGGAGGGGGTGTCTCTTACAAAACGTTACGTAGCATTGTTTCTAAAAAAAATATTAATAAAAACCCCCAAACTGGCAAATTTTTTCATATACGTTACATTATGTTGACCAGATTGTATTAGTCTGGTCGATATTTTTATTTGTTATTCCAAGTTTGCAAACCTCTAAATTGATATTTTACGGGGAATACCTAGATAACATTGTCTTTTAATATTGCTTCCGTAATCCGTGTTCAGTATTCGTTAGTGTTTATCCGTGAGTTCATAGTGTTCATACTGTAATTTCTTCAGAAAAGGGAGATTTGTGTCAATGATCTTTTTTCATTTAATAGATTAAACTATACCAAACTACATATTACATATTGTTTTACGACTTTGGATGAAATTGATCACTTGAGTGTTACGTAACGTTTTGAGAAGGGGGGGGGGCTACAGAAAACGTTACTGTGCGTTACGAGAGGGGAAGGGGGGGTCAAAAATCTCCGAAAATTGCGTTACGTGATACTTGAACGCTCCCTTAGGCGTGAAAGCGTAACAGACAAAAAGACAGACAGAGTTGCTTTTGCATTTATAATATTAGTAGGGATAATAATCTGTAGTGTAGGCTAGTTATCTTACTGATTGGGTTGTATTCCATTTGTTATATAAATTATAAACGAATGTACGTTTAATTTTAAATTGTTTAAAGTATGTACATAATCTTACCTTAATTTTTCTGTCAAACTAAAAATTATTTAATTACATACGCAGAGTTGGGAGTTTTTCTATACAGTTTCATAGTTTTAGTAATATTTGAATTAAAATGTCTGTTTTAGGTTCCGTGTATTGCACATTGCCATCTATTGTGACACAACCAGAAGGAGGCAGTTTTACAGCGGGTATAATAAATTTTGACCAGGAATCTGAAAAGTGCTTCTTGAAAACACCCGCAGATGAATTGGTAGTATTGAAACCTATAGATGGATCTAGCGACAAGTATGAATTACTACCTGAAGATGACGTCATCAGATGCAGGGTGCTGATAAAACAATTGACCCAGAATGATAACGGAATATGGACCCTTCATATGACTACGAAGTCTGGAAATGAAGATACACAATCATACAACGTTACCGTTCTAACTCTAGGTATTAACGGAAAATTAATTAAATTAAACATGCAAAATCTATTACTTATATATTTGGACATTTATACATATTCTTATGCTTTTAGTTAGTATCCCAACAAGTATTTAACATAGCTTCTATTTCATTCCAGAAACAACTGAGCCACCGACTACAACGGAAAAAGACCAAGTTGAAATAGAAAATCTGCCAGCACAGAATATTAATACCACACTTGGGACTAGCCATATCATCACGATACCTGACTTCTCATTCGTGACCAGCGAAAGATGTATTATAGTGACGCCATCTGGTGAAAGAATTGGTTTACAAGAACTGAAGGATTCAAGTGTAATCCAAGCCATTACTGACTCGGACGCCGCTTGCGCTGTAAAGATTTCCGTAAACAATGAAGACGCTATCGGCGACTGGTTGTTAATCTCCGAAGGGACAAGATTTTCCAAACAAATAGAAAGAAGGTTGCCATTTGCAGTACGCGTTGAAGGTTAGTATTTTATTAATCCGAAATTATTGATAATAGCTCTCCTATCTGGTCACGTATAGATAATACAATCTGTATGAAATACACTGATACCTATATAATTAATGTTATTTTGGTGTGACGTCATACTTTATGATTTGAATGTTCTCCGTTTGACCTTGCAGAAAATGTTGACGCTTCTATGGACGAAGTAACATTAGCTGAAGGGAACGATTTCTACATTAGATTGAAGAATTCTATTCCCGATTCTGGTACTTGCAGACTCGTTGGACCTAATGGCTCACGGAATTTTGAGATAGACCAGCGTTATTCGGATGTATGTGGTTTTTTGGTTAGAGAAGTTATACCCGCCGATGCTGGCACGTGGGAGATTCAGTATGGTGATAAAATATTATACCGTGCTCGAGTTATTCTACATGTTAAAGGTTATAAATTAATGCTATAAAAATAAAGTCTATGTATAATTTCTCTACTGTTTTCTATAAATATTTTCTTCTTGCAGGTAATTCAGCAAATAAATTAGACCCGCTGACATGGTCTAGAGACAATCATTTGAATACTACACTCGGTCCTGAAACAGCGATTTACTGCAAGTTAGAGAGTCCTAGCGGAAGAATAGTTTACGATGGTTTTGGAAGATGCAGAGCTGTTATTGATAGAGTTACCATGGAACATGATGGACTATGGAAAATGACTGTTGGAGCGCCGGGAGGAGTGTTCACACAGAAATATGAAGTTACAGTCAAAGTTGTAGAAAGATGTGAGTTATTTCATTTCTATATATTACTACCCGCGGATTTCCGGGTTGTAAAGTAGCCTATCTGTTATTCCTGGACGTCAGCTTCCTGTATACAAAATTTCATCAAAATCGGTACAGCCGTTTGGGCGTGAAGAAGTAACAAACATACACACACAAAATTTCGCAATTATAATATTAATAGGATACATAAATTCTATTCATTTTCTTTGACCAAACAACTTAAGTCAAAATAGTTTTTATATTGCATTTATGATTTATAATCTATTTCATTGATAACATGCTGGCAAGTCAAGTTGAGTCAAAATAGTTTTAACTTTAGAATTGTGATCTATTGCTTGGTTACATGAATTGAAACTAGCAAGAGTTCTTTGCCAAAAAAGAAATCTTTTTTGATCTACTAAGACTTCTTGATTTCTCTGATTTTCAATTGAAATTAACTAGACTTCTTTGCCAAAAAGATATCTTCTTTCAGCTACTGATTCTTCTTTATTCTTCTGTATTTTTTATTCCAATATACTTCTTCCAGCTCACGACACGCCTGCAATCACTAGCGTGTCATACAATAAGCCGGTTGTTATTATGACGTGTAAAGCCACGAGTCGGGTTCCATTCAACTCTTGTAAGTTCCGGAACCCGGTGGGAGAGATACTCTTGGCTTCGGAAGGAGTTGGTCAGGGAAGATATAGCTTCCATGGAAATGGAACCAGGTATTTAATGACCTATGATCATTGGTTACAATAAGTCTATTTGGAATTTAAAAAAAATAGCTTTAGAGTGTCTGTTTGCCACACTAATACGGCTTTTTAAATGATGGACAGATATATACACCGAATATAAGTTGTCTATTTGGAATCAAAAGATTTATAGTATAGTATATTTTTATCACATTAATATAGCTTTTTAAATAATGCACATTTATGTGTACACCGAAAAATAATTTTATTAAATTTTTGACCTTCTATTTGTTTTGACTATTCACTGAAATGTTAAGAAAATTTCGATGCCATTTTGTTTCTACTGACTTCTAAGACACTAAATAAATCCATCTAAGATTCAATGATATCTGATAGCAAATATAATAATTTAATGGAAATACCATAAAAAAAAAAACTATTTATTTCTTCAAATAATCATAGTTATGTGAGCATTATTATCCTAGCTTCAACGAGGGCTTGTACACACACGAGTGTGGGTTCCAACTATCCGAGCCTCAAGTACGTGAGCTCGGGTTCTGGAGGTGTGTTCTGGAGACAGCTGACGGGAACCACTACGGGTTCCTGAAGGTACTACCTCCATGGAGCATGAGGGACCCTGAGGTTGTAGCGGGTATCGTGAGAAGTGAGTATTGATAATACTTGAATCATTACTCTGATTTTTAGGTACTAAACTTCATGATGTAGAATTTACGAGATAATTAAATTGTATATATATATATTCAATACTAGCTTTCCGCCCGCAGTTATATCGCGTTTCCAAGAGAACCGTTTAAAAGTCTGGGATAAAAACCATCCTATATTCTTTCTCAAAGGCAATTCTATATCTGTACCAAATTTAATCATAATCAGTTCAGTAGTTTAGGCGTGAAAGCGTAACAGACAGACAGAGTTACTTTCGCATTTATAATATTAGTAGGGATAAAATTCTATGATACCACACACATGTTTAAAGAATTGAATCACAGAGTGTTATGTGCAATGAATCTTGTAGTTCTAAAATCGTTGTATAGGCCCTAAAACATGGAAGCAACGAATTGGCTCTTTGAAATTCCGATCATTTTTAATAAATTTTTCTTTTAATCGTGATATATATTTAAATTAAACTGAAATTTTCTGATTTCTACGAATTTTTACTTATTTTCATAACATAGTCCCAAAGTTTCGATTACTTTGCAGAAACCGTAATCACGGGCAGACGAGATTAATAAAATAAGGCCTAGTTGAATGAACTAATCCGAACAGTTTCCTTTAAATGAATACTAGGTCTCATTATGTTATGTATATGTTCTAGCGCCGTCCGTCACTCCGTCAGGCGACGTGACGTCTCTCTCCGGTACGAGTGTTCGTTTCCATTGTTCCTCACCCGCCGCACTCCGCTACTGTTACTTCAGAGCTAGGAACGGAACCGTTTACAACGTCGATCAGAGTAAGTATTTAGAATTAAAAACACACACACATATAATATATACATATGTCTTTCGATATTTTTTGTGATCAACTCAATTGCTACTAGAATCCTGATAGTACAACTTCATTTATCATAAATTATTATATACCCAAGATTTTATGTTAATTCTACTTCTAAACTATGTTGCATTACTTCAAATAATTATATATATCAAAACACATATAAAGGGTTTCTGGTAGAGATCTCTTTTAAGAGATAAGTTATCCTTTGTACATCAAATTTCTTTTATACCTACCTAATACTCTAATTGTAACTATTTTTCTTTTTGGTGCATAAATAAATAAATACACATATGTTCCATAAAATATTAACGACCAAAATCGATAATGTCACAACATATAACACATTATTTGGGCAATATTTTCTTTACGTGAATCATAGAAGCTAATACTCCATACTCCATAGCTTCATCGAACTACGAGGGTAACGGCTTCCCGTCCGGAGAGTGTGGTATAAGGTTCGAGTCCCTGGTAGTGAACGATTCGGGACCTTGGAGTTGCCATGTTGGTATTGAAGAAGATGGATCCTTAATTGAACTGAGGTCTTCATTCAATGTTGCCATACACGGTTAGTATATACATAATATGTTTTATATAATCTGTAGTAATCATGTGATTTGTGTCATCTGGAGTGGAAAGAAATAATAGTTTATTGATGAAAAAATATCATATACTCTAAATACTAATATATTATGATTATGAAATAAATTGATTTATGTTACAGCCAAATTAATGAATACAAAATATCTATTGATAGAAAAATCTTAATATTACATTAAATCACAGATTCTCTCTATACACTAAGTAGACTGAACTTATATCTTTACATCTCTTTAGTCAATACTTGCATCTTATTAGTCTTTAGTATTCCATATTACAACTAAAAGTATTGCTATTAAATTATCCAAATAACACAAAATAATCCTCAATATTCACACGACACTAAGACACTGAAAATATCAAAAACAAAAGAATTCAAATCGAACGTCAATCTTTTCAAGTTTTAGCGGACAAAACAGTCAGACAAAACGTTTTATGACAGAAGATACATATTATTATATATAAATCATTTTCTATATACATAGTGATGTGTGTGTTCATATGTTGTGTGTGTGCGTATATATATATGTGTGTGTGTGGTTCCAGAACCGATGGTAGTGAATCAGTGGATGGAAAAAGACAGATTGATGCTGACGGCTCAGGTCCACGGATCACAACAACTTGAATACTGCAGATTCGTCCGCATTGATGGCCTCGGTAAATATAGAACACTTAATCTATCGCGTTTAATAATACACAAAACAAAAAACATAAATTTAAGGCTAGAAAAAAAATCGCAAACTAAAGTCATTTATCAGCAAAATATGTTAAAATTATCTCGATCTTTAGTCCTATATAAAAATGAAGAATTAAACATCCAAAAAGAAAATCATACATCCAAAAATACTCGACATATATATTATTTCATCAGAAATACTCTCTAAATCAAAGACTAACAATCATAAACATTTATTCCATTCCTTCTCCATTCTTCTTCACTCATTCTCAATTCTTCTCCACCCAGGCTTCACGAGCGTATCCTTACCTCGTTACACGGACACGTCAGACCTATCCGTCGGTCGTTGTGGCCTCATTATATCCGGAGCCAGTATTATGGAGCGTCACCCGTGGACAGTGGTCGCGAGGGTGGAAGGAGGAGACGAACTGGTCGGAACCAGTACACCCACATTGGATATACCAAGACCTATTAGAAGACGATGTATGTATGATTATTCTCATTATTTACATATATGTACCAAATATTTGTTAGCTATAAACCCAGTACATCCTTACTACCCAGATCTATTAGAAGACGTTATTATGATATAATACATTTATGACATAGCTTCCTGTATTAAATTATCAACAGAGGCCAAATATCCTATTTCTATCACAAAATTACAATTATAATTGATATAACCAAAAAGTTTTTGGATTTACTACGCTATAATCAACCATAATCAAAAATCCTAAAAATTATAGTTCTATTCCAATGAACACTCGAAATAGTCATCTTATTATAATAATTTATTTCCAGCTTTAAATTTCCCTCTCTTAATAATAATGTCGATCGGCATTATATTGATCATACTCGGCGCTATCGTCGGTCCCAAGAGGAACCGGGAGTGGGCGGCTCAAAGGACTAGCGCGTTCAGAAACAGCTTGAGAAACAGCTTCAGGAAGAAACCATTACAAGCTGACAGCAACGTGAACACAGCTTGTGCAGCATAACCGAAAATATGCTGCCTTAAATCAACATAAGGCTACGGTTACACATGCTTAAATAAGCATGCCTTTTTTAAGCATGTATAACAGCAGCCTAATTCTCTCCCAACCATAATAATGTAACTACATTCAAAGTCGATGTTGATTCGCGAACGTACTTAATATGTGATATATTTGTATGATAATTTTGTATATATATAAAATCAAAGACTTTATTTTATAATGAAATATTTATGTATTTTTATAGACCATTTGATATATCTGTATATTTGTACGTAGTCCAAATAGCTCAAACACGACATCCACACTTGGCATGCTAACAACGTCTTTACGCGTTTTCGCTTATTTGTGTATGTGTCTTATTTGTGCAAATATGTCAAATATAGTTAAAAATATTTTTGTTACTGAAATTCCATTTTTGTTATAATTTATTGTTTGATACATTTATATAGATAAAAGAATTGAATATGTGTTTTGTTTTATTGTTTTCAAACTTTATAAGGTGAAAATTTTTAATGTATTTTTTGAATCTCTTATTTCACTTCAAAAAACGATTTTCAGCTCAATATTAATGTAGATTTTTTTCTTCATAATTCACTCATATGCCAAATTTCTTTTTCATCAGTAAATATTATCAAGATAAATATATAAAATTATTTATATATCTCAATGCTGATGAAGTTTTGTTACACCTGTATGAAATTACCAACAATTTTAACTGAAGGTTCAATTTTATGCCATATACAATACATTACACATAAAAAACCGTTTTAAATTATTATGTCATATAAGTAATGAGTAGGTACTCATTTACATAGTTGCGAGAAGTTGTCCTATTAACTTTAAATTTATTTAAACAGGAATACTTAAAAAAACTTCAATTACCTATATTTAAGTGAGAGTATCAAAGTTTCCTCCGTAAATTATAATTACTTCTAAGTTAATAACTTCTTGAATTTTTGATACTGAATCATCAACAATAAATCTTCAATAAGCTTAGTTATAATTAGATATATGTATTTTAATTCATTAATGCTTACGCCTTGTAACTATTAAACCTTCTATTTTGTAATTAAAATCCTTTCTTTCCCTTATTTAATAACATCAGGATTAACACTTGCAACTTTCAGAATGAAAAGTAAAAAGACTGCACTTTACTAGCTATGCTATTCTATTACAAGTAGCGCCATCTATTGAGCACTAATTTTAATAAACTATAATCTTTAGAAATATTTTTATTACCGATTATAATAACTAATAATAATATTGAGCTGTTGTTATTTTGTAATGGTGACATTTAACTATGAACATGGACTCGTAAACTATAAATACTGGATTAAGCCAAGTTGTAAGACATGACTCGAAGTAACGCTGAACATTGTAAAACAAAACTGAAACAGTATCTCGAACAATAACGAACTAACTTTTGTCAATAAATTTAATATTATCTATACAGAAGATGCAAACATATATTTCAATTGATTTTATATTTAAAATTTTATAAGTAAAGATACTATAATTTTTAAAAAGAGACTTCACCTACTTAAAATATGATTTTTTTACAAGTTTACTATCTTCGATTGATTATCGCTAACAACTAAAATATAAAATGAATAATTTTGAAGAAATGTTATTAATTATTACTTACTATTAGTTATTTACGACAAATCTTCTGTATGATATCTATAAACGAATGTGTAGAAAATGGAGTATTTTATTGTTTCATGAAAGTACAGTAAGCTGTAAGTACATGTGAAATGTTATTCGAATTACATACGTTGAAATTGATAGTTGTTACACAATTTTTTTTAATTACCTTTAACAATTTTAATACATTATTTAAAATATTTATAAAGGTAGAACATTAGTCGTGACTCGTGTACAATTATAATTGTTTATTTAATAAGTCTTAAAAATATAATAAATACAAAACGTCAAACATGCAGGTGACAGTTTATTTTTTTTTATTAACATTACAAGTCAGAATATACATACTGCCAGTTGCAATGAACCAAGTCTTTCAAATTATAATTTAATTAATAATTATTAATACTTCTCGTCTGGCTAATACGATATTCGAAACACGCCAGAAAAATATTAAGAAGCCTTCGAAAAGTTAAGATTATACCTTTTCTTTATTTGTTTCATATTTTCTACAATTAAAAAATTTCCTAACTGGCCAACTCAGTTCAGTTGTCGCAAAAGTTTAGCCGTTTAATCCAATACACATAATCTACGGTAACTATACTCATACTATTATATATTATTTTTTGGCTAGAAAAGAACAATGTACATACATAATGTTGTATGAGATTTAATCTTCTGGTACAAAACTTATGAAATTCCATAAAACAAGTCTTCAAAATATAACGATTAATTTAAATAATAAGATAGGTATATTTTTTAACATCAAACAACAAGTAACTCTTTAAAAATATACAAAGTGTAGATAATATATCTGATAACAGTGAATTCGTTGTCAAAAAGTATTTACTCAATAGTTTATCGGCCAATATTCGATAAACTGATTAGTCATAAGAAACTCCTTTGAATATTTATCTCCCTTTTAAAGAATTTTTGACCCTCAACGAATGTTTTATTATTGTGGCAATCATTTTTTATTTTTATTGCAAGTGATATTCAAAAATTGTCTCCTTTTGTTCAAATATTTGAACATTCTAATTTTGAATTTCGAACATCACTCGTTTTCCAATAGTTAGAATAAATAGTAAGACACATAATTATATAACAAAAAAAATTAACACAGGTCGTTATTAAAATAAAAATTACTTATTAATAATAATGGAGAAGTATAAAATAGTTTTAATATATGACTTAAATAAAATTATAGCAGACATTCAAAATATTTTTCACCATTGATAGAAAAATACTTACTATATAACTTACATATTCGGTGTGATAGTGAGTATCATTTTTCTACAGGCATCGCGATGGATGCGCGTGTGTTTGTGGTCTCTGTCCTTGTCTTTCATACGTTTATATACCCGTGTGTGACAGTGATGAAAATAGATACGCCGATAATAAGTAGGTACATATTTTCAAACATTTGAAATTGTTAATATTTTTTTACATAAAAACTAAATAAATTAGTATATTAATTTGATAATTTATTTTTAATTCATTCAGACATGTTGAAATATTTTTTTCAATTTATGTTTATTTTACGCTACATTGTTATCTACGCTTAAAATTTCAATTTTCTTGTAATCTTTCAGTCCAATCAATGTTTTCGTGAAATGATTACAAACAATGCTTATTAATACAAGTAATAAATTAAGAAAAACTGGAAAAAATACAAAAAAAATTCGTAAAATTTCTTTGCTTTAAAGAATTTAAAGAATTTAACGATTATATTGATATATGTAAACAATATAATATCGAAACATTGGAAACGAGACGACGACATTATGATATGTATATGTTACACGCAATAATTACGGGAGATATAGATTGCACCGATTTATTGAGCGCTTTATATTTAAGAGTTCCTAATCGCCGCACACGTCATACAGCACTATTCCACACGCCTGAGCTAAAAACTAACTATGCACACAACTCTGTCCTTAATCGCATGGTCCACACATATAATTCACACTACTCAGAAATTGATCTGTTCAGCATGTCAAAACTAGCTTTTAAAAAAGCTATAATTAAATAAGATAAAAATTCATAATGACAAACATACACACACCCCCACACACACACACATACAGACACACACACATACACGCACCTATTGGATTCCCACCCGTACCTTTATATTACTTTAATACTATAAATTTTACTTTTATGCTGATTTTACTTGTCTTCTAGTTATTAATATGTTTAAGATACCTGTGTAATCCTATCTTGGTTTTAATTTTATGTTATGTAATATTTAATATAAAAATTTATGTATAAAAACTGTTGGATTACCAAACAAATAAATAAATAAATAAAAAACATGTTTGTTTTAAAGGTAAATCCAAAATGGAGCTTACACCGCTTTTTATTTCCGCCAAATTAAATAATCTTATAATATTATCTGCACCGATCATTGACAGTTCTGCGTTATATTATTTAAGCAAACCAAATGGAGACGAAGTAAAATTGAATTTAAACATAAGTCATAGCATCCAAGAAATTAAAGGCGGGAAAAAACATGACAATAATTTAAAATATTATGGGGAACTAAAAGGAATAATATCAAATTTAATATATAATAGTTTTAATTACGAAAAGAGCTGTCATAACGACGAAGTTTTTAAATATAAGTTGATGTCAAATGATTTCGTAATTGGACCGTTGGATGAAAATGATCACGGAAATTGGGTGTTGAGTGTGTTTTATAAAGAAAATGGCGATTGGATAGAATTGTTTCAAATTATAACCATTGAAATTATTGGTAAGTTTATTGTATATATGCAATATAACATTTTTAAATATAATTCAGAAAAAATAGAAATGAATAATCTGTGCTATAACTATTACTATATCATCACACTCTGTATTTGAATGATTTTAAAGATAGATATTCAGTTTTTAAACTTGTATTTAAAACACTAAATTAAACTATTTAAAAATGTTGACTTGGAATTCATATAAAGATAAGAAATTCATTTCAATTTAGATATAGGTAATCGATTATTTTTTTTATTTTACTTTCGGATTGTTTACTAAATTTACTTAAGGCATTTGACGAAATAGTTTAAATACACCGCAACCAATGAACTGAGTTTAATGTTTTATTTTAATGACTTAGACTCCATTTAATTGCTTTTATATAGTCTATATCCGGATTACGATAAACCTTTTATTTAGTTAGTACATTTGTAAAATAAAAACTTACAATTTCAGACACGATATTGGCTGTACCAGAGAAACCAAGTTTACATCTAGGAGAAGACTTTTATGTTCGTTTTGCAAACACACTACATGACCTTGAGAGTTGTCAAATTGTGGCACCAAAATCGACTTTTGATAGATTCTTTAATCGTAACAATATTTATCAAAACGCCTGCGGATTTCACATACCAAATGTTACTTACGCTGACGAAGGGATGTGGAAAATAATAGGCGTCGGAAAAATTGTTTACGAGGCAAATGTATATTTAAATATTAAAAGAAATGTGACGTAACGCAGTGGTATTATTTATGAACATTAACAAAACATGTAAAATTAAGAAATTAAGTTTTATTTATTGAGTTTTAAGCCGTTTAAATTATATATAAAATTATTTTGAAACATTACTAAATGCTTGAAAATTGAAATATACTAAATTAAAAAATATATTGTTGTCTAATAAGCTAAATGCATCTCTGGTGTAAAGATATTTGTGGGGTTGTAATAATATATTAAAATTACCATTATAAGCTTGCTCAATAATTCCGATATGGTACTTCTATATTTCAAATGTCAGTTTTGTCATTAGGATCTCCTGAATCCTGATGGAAAATGGAAGTTTAAAACATTTTATTGATTTTCGACAGTACAGAACTTTTGAGTGAAATACGGTCGTCAGAGAATTATTTTTACATATATTTTATACTTTCATAAACACTGTGATGTTTTCTTATTTTTAAGTTCTCATAAAGACCGTTCTATGGGAGTCTTACGTGTTAATTGGTTGTTTTAAATATATCTTTTATACCTGCATGTTCTGCTAGTTTCGTGCAGAATGTAGCAAAATGGGATTAATTTACGAATGAAAGAAAATGAAACAGCTTCGACTAAAGGTCTTATATCTTACCAAAATTCATAGTTTTAATGTACAGAATAGAGTTAAGAAAAAAATCTGGGTTACGAATTATTTCAAAACCACCTAACAATTGGCCGACTAGCGTCTTATAATTTAACAGACGTAAACTTTGCAAAAGTTAAAGAATATAATATAATTTTAAGAATAAAACCATAAAATACAGTTTCATAAAATGCAATCTGTTCAAAGCTTCCCTAACTGCATTATCCTATTCATCATCGTTGTTGAGGTCATTCTTACTAGCTTGTATAGTTATTAAATTCAAACTGTAACATTTATAATTAGTACAATGATAACGTACATTCTTATAACATACATCACTGTATTGTATTCACATCAATAAAAACCAGTACATATTTTCTTTGTCTTTGAAAATCATCCTGTATACACCGCCTACATTCATAAGAAAATACCATGTTAATAGAGTCTTAAATTATTATACACACCATGTATATCATTCAGTAGTAAATAAAACAGCATGTATATATTTTATAGTATATGTTAGTATACATGAACAGTGTATCAGTCGCTGCCGCTGCCGGAGCCCGAGCCGCTCTGACTGTTCTGTGGGGTGTTGTTCCCGGGGCTCGCCTCGTCGTCTGAGTCCTTCAGAGCCTTCGCCCTGTCCAGCCTCCTCGCACGACGAGTCTCCACGTCCGACCCGTCAGACTCCGACGAATATATCGCGGCGCCCGCACTCGCTGTATCGAAAATGGGAATTATTGACGAAGTGGTTAAGTACATTAAAAATATGATGATTTAGAAATTATATGTATTAGTAACAACTTGTGACTAACGGACTCTGCTACTAGACACATACCCACACAGCCTCTTTCTATCTCTCTCTCACACACATGCCCACACAGCCTCTTTCTATCTCTCTCACACACACCCACACAGTCTTTCTGTCTCTCTCTCACACATACCCACACAGCCTCTGCCTATCTCTCACACACACACCCACACAGTCTTTCTGTCTCTTTCTCTCTCACTTCCCCCCCCCCCTCCGTCACCTTTCTGTCCAGCCTTGTACTTGTTCTTGATGGCAGCCAGCGACACCCCCCCCTCGTCCTCTGAGTCGTCGTGCCTGTGAGCCCGCGCGCCCCCTCCGCCACCCGCCCTCCTCTTGGGTCTACTGGACACACGGGACCTCATAGCAGCACGCAGCTCCATCTCCTCTTTCTATAAATATAATATTATCTATATAAGTTCCATAGTTTTCAGTTTTATCACTGTATAATTTTTAACTTTTGCTTCTAACTATTGAACATGTACGGAGAGGCTAAGAAAATCTTGGCATCATATTTTTTTTTATATCAAAAATTTCAAACGAGCAGCCGGCCTACAGAAGGTAGTCAGTCACTCCCATCTATATACATCTACAGCATAAGGGTTTGCGGATGCCTTGCGGACCTTGATTATAGAAGAAGAAGAAATGGTAGGCTAAGGCAAAGGGCAAAAAAACCTTTACCCAAGCCTTACTTTACAATATACATACCTTCAGTTGATACTTCCTATCAGCGTCAGGGTCACTACCCACTTGTGACAATATCTTTATAGCGGACGTCTTAGTAGATCTATCTGCTACAGAGAGCGTCATCTTGCGATGTGTGAACGAATCAGTGGAGTGAGGTCTGAATGAGAGCTTAGTACGGAACACAGCCTGGCCTTGAAGACCCGTACCTTGACGGACGAATAGATGGTTGTGGTCGCCCTGGAGAAATAATAATAATTAGAATAATCTAAGGGAAATTATAATGGATGATGAGGATGTATACAAACATACTAGATAAAGAGAGAGAAAATAATACTTGGTATAATACAAAACAAATTACTATGGCTGATGCATGAGGTAAGATTTACGAATGAATATTTATTTTTTTATATAGACCTTTATAAATACGTGTAGAATAATATTTAAAAAAAATTCTCTATATTGAACAACAACTTACATATATGTATATTTTAAATAAAAATTCGATTATTATAGAATGAAAATAGTTTGCAGGAATGCGTGGCAAACCTGCGACCACAAGTTTCTTACTTTGCAATAACTTTTCCAACTAAACTATCGCAACCGTTGAAATAAGAATTCTATATAAAAACCGCGACATCAAGACATGTACACCATCATATATTTGCATATATACAGGGTGTATGAAAAACTGTGTCAACCCTCTTAACTACGTTATCAGTATCGAAAATGTAACACAATAAAACAACTTACATTTACAAACCCTTCAATAAAAATAATAAAATTAAATATTAAATGATTATTATATGTAGAGTAGCAAAATGTTTGTAAACCCTGGTATAACACGATGACACGCAATGACGTCATCACAGCTGCTGCGCTACTAGTGACGACCTTGAAGTTACTTTCACATTATTGAAAATATCGATATTTAAAAAATCATAACAATAAATAAATATTTAATATTCATATTATTTCGATACTTATTTTGATATATCAAACATTTATATTATGTTTGATTGTAAAACATCATTTTTAACAGAAATAGATTAACGATTTATCCTAATAATACAACATATGTAGTTAATTTACCTGAACAAGTTTCAAATTATAATATTTATTATTAATAAAAGTTATTTTAAATGAAATTATTTTAATGTGAAAAGCATAACTATTTAAAATAGCAATATTGAAAATGTCGATAGATAATTTATCGATATAACAAATTTTTACACTTTCAAATCTCTATTCGAACAACTAACAGAATAGTAATAATAACGCCGGCGGCCCGTCGCCTGCGGTCAATGGTCACGCATGCGCCGTTGCGACTATACGGTGTCTTGACCTTGTATGAGTCAGATGTTTGGTACATTTTTTCGAATAATGTCGATTTAAAACTTATTTAGCCTATGCACTGTAACTGACCTCTGCTTGATATTTTTTAAGTTATACTATGTATTTTTTATAATAAGCTTATACTTATATGTATACCTTCAAGGGTTGACACAGTTTTTCATACACCCTGTATAAAGAATTATATGATTATAAGGCCATGAACACACTCACGTGTAAAGGTTGCTTGTACACATCAAAGATTTCTGAGCCGAGGTGTAAGGACATACTTCCGTCGGACCACTTCACCATACGAGCGTTGGATTCTTTAACAGCATTACCTTCCTTGTCAAACACGGTCCGCCAACGTATTGTGTTCTCAACTTTAAGCTTCAACCTGTTATGGAAATTTTTGGTAAGAAATATATTTAGTGGAATGGAATTTAAAGTGTTATTGGATGAAGTGGAGTTAGGTATTGCTTGTACGCTATTAGGTTCATTAACCTATACAAAGTTCCGATACATTATAAAGTACGTAGAGCAATTTTAATTTAAAAATATATATAATGAAATCAAAGATTTTCGCGAGTACTCATTTAAATGAAACTAATATTTTCGGATTTACTACGCGATTTTTATTTTTGACTATAAACTACATCTCGACTGCCCGTGATCACTGTTGCTGTAATTAACCGAAACGTCGGGAGTATGTAGTTTATAGTCAAAAATAAAAACGCTTAGTAAATTCGAAAATATTAGTTTCATTTGAAAAATATATAGTGCTAGAGCATTACATATTAAGTTTTTGGTACCAAAATATAGGTGTAGGGTAGGCCAAACTTTGTTTTTATATAAATCGTATCAGTTAATTATTTCCATATTATTTTGATTACCTCGCACGTCCTTCTTCATCAAGCGTTTCTTCTTCGTCAATCTCATCTTCGTATGTATTCGGATCGTAAGGCCTAGTTTCCACTGACAAAAAATTGGGTAGCTTCACGAAATGCAACTCCTTGCCAAGTTCCGTCCATATTTTAGGCATGTCTACATCTATGCGAGTTTCTGGAATCTCAATTTCCTCTTCTTCCTCAGGTTTCTCTCTATTTTCCTGTATTTTTACATAATTTATTATGATATATCAAAGAAATAGCACCAACAATATTATGGATTTTTTTTAAAGATCAGAGTTTGATTTGAGATAGGGAAAAGGATAATTTTGTTTTCTTGTGTAATTGTGACGCTCAATATATCTCAAGAATTTCGTCAAAAACTATATAGTTCCTTATCGAGTTACATACACTCAAGCTATGTTTATAGAAATATTTTTCGTTAATGTATTCTTAACTTTGTTAAGGACATAAATTACAAATACTAAAACAAAGAAAGACATACTAGCTGTTAGCATACAATATTTTTTTCATAGATTACATTGGACCAATCCTAGTAACATTATAATTGCGAAAGTTTGTGAGTGTGTATGTTTGTTACTTCTTCACGCTCAAACGGCTGATGCGATTTTGATAAAATTTTGTACACACGAAGCTGACGTCCAGGAATAGCACATAGGCTACTTTACATCCCGGAAATCCGCGAGTGACACCGCGGGGCGCAGCTAGTAAAACATATATATATGTAGTTTATATCAACATTTAACGGCTATTACCTCATCTCCACTGCCCTTGGCGTCGTCCGAGCGCCTCTCGTCCCCTGACCTGCTGCGTGACCTTGACATCGACCGTGACCTTGACCTCGACCTTTCCTTCTCACCCTCATTGTCCGTGCTGATGTCGGACGCGTCACCGAACAACGCATCAGCCGTCACTGGAATACAAAGAAACGTGTCGTTAGCTTTATTTTGACCGAAATGGCCTATGGGTCTAAGAAATTTCAAATCTGATATTTGAATGCTAAATTATCGTTAAACCTAACATGCAATTGAAATTTGTTAGTATTACAATTGTATCTGATATAAATTTATGTAATAAAAATATATGCCTAAAGTATACATATAGATATAGTTTAGCATTGGTTAGGTAGAGAGAGGAGCTTGGACAGTGGAGGTGATCGTTTAACGCGTTAGATAGGGCCCCTTAAACCTACACCTGGGTCGCAAGTCCCAGTCACTGTTGAAGCTTCTCTCACTACAACGATGGACCCGGCACTCGCACTGTGAATCCATTGAACGATAAGTTTCATCTCTAGTAAAATTGTCTATTATATATTAATATTTTTCCTCACCAGTTGCTTCCTGATTTTCATCATCAGAATCAAGTTTCTTTGTCTTCTTCTTAGGTTTGCTTGTGTCCGAGCCACTGTCTGAACCTTTCTTACGTTTGGGACCTTTCCCACCGTCACTCTCTGAATCGGATAACACAGAACTTTTCTTCTTACCTAAAACATTTTATACAATAAAATATTCAATAAAACTATATTAAAATAATTATATATGTATTTGATGAGCAAAATTGTCATAGAACCTAGTATAATAAAGTCATGTGCCTACATTATACTTGGCATCATATTATTTAACAATACCGACCAAGTATAATTAATATACAAATTGTAGTTGGTAAGTAATTATATATATTTGACTTTGGTATCCAAATTTTTGATTTGTTACAAGTTAATGATCATTGGTATATCAGGAAAAGTCGAATAATTCAGTGAGCAACTATTTTTAAAATATCTATTGAGAACAGTTAGTTACTTGGTATTATTTACAAAATGATCCATCAGTAAATTTTAACTTGTTATTAATAGTATTTATTAACTGTATCTTATATATAAAATTCACGTGTTGCGATGTTAGACAGAGAACTCCTCCGAAATGGCTGGACCAATTTTGATGAAACTGTGAGCATATTGATTAGGTCTGAGAATCGGCCAACATCTATTTTTCATACCCCTTAGTCATAAGTAGGGCCCGGATAAATATGTATTAAAAAATCTAAAATATGTACATAAAATATGGACGAAAAAACCAAAAATATGGAATAAATATGGAGTATAAATTAAATACTTTCATAATTAAACATTGTTTTACTATAAGAAAAGAGTCACTCGTGACGTACATCGTTAAGTTACATTTAAAAACCGATGAAAAAAAGTAGCGAAATATTTATTTCAACAAAAAATAACAGTTTTATTCAACTTCCATTACTAGCCTTATCAAGTTGGTTACAATGCAATACACAATGACGTGCTTCTTTAAATTATCAAAATTAAAACTGACGATTTGGTCGAAATATAGCCTTATATCTGCTGATTGGTCTCATTACAAGTCACATGACGTGAGGGGTGCATTTTTTTTTTTCTTTTTTTGTTTTCCCAGGGGAAATCTGTTCACAGATATCCGGCCAAGCGGGGACTTGACCGGGTTATGTGGGGTTTCGACCCACTAAAACCCCTGGGTGTTCCTCAACCACGCCACCTAGGCAGGGCCACGGTATATCACGAGCTTGCCTCGCGACCCTGCCGGCGCTTGTCCACTCGGGACCTCGAACTAGGGGGGACAAATCCCCCCGCAGACCACCACCGCGAGCCGCCCCCGGAACAAGAGGGGCTAGCACCGCACTGATCCTATCAACGGGCGACAGAAGTCCCCGTCTGCCACCCAGGATCACGTCGTCCGGCGCTTAACCTATGGCTGTAAAGAGGCCAGATAGGCTCGGCGCCGGCGACCAATTCGCCGACGACGGAGGGCAGGGGCCTCCGGGTCGCTCTCCCTGGCCCGCTCCGCTGCCTCCTTCGCGCTGATGACCGCTTCGGCGAAAGCGGCCACCGCCTCCCATGCCTCCTCGCTGCCGACCATAGCCGAGATTATAGCCGGCAACGAGAGGTCCCTCCCTATGACCGTGGTCAAAGCAGCACGAAGGCTGCCCCACGCTGGGCATGACTCGCGCGTGTGCTGTGCCGAGTCCTCCACGCCACCCCCGCAGTGATGGCAGGCGGGGCTTTCTTCCCTGCCCACCACCCGCCACAGATACCTGCCGAAACATCCGTGTCCCGACAGCAAGTGTGACAGGCGGTAGGTGAGTGGGCCAAACGTGCGACCCACCCACTCGCAAAGAACAGGCCTGACAGCGGTGGCCAGTTCATAGCTGGCCGTCGGAGAAGCCAGTCGCTCACCCCATCTACGTAGAACGTTGGCCGCCGCATCCCTTCTCCATTCGGCGACCGACCCGGACGCAACTCCTCCGTCACGGCTGCGAGCCTCCGCGCGCCGGTGATAGACAGCCGACAACGCATCGGCCTCCAGGTACCACGGTGGCGTGCTGGCCAGCAGGCAGGCCCCCTCAAAAGACACTGTACGGTACGCCCGCGCCACCCGTCACGCCAAGATACGCTGCGGACGGCGGAGGTAGGCTGTCGTTCGCGGGCCGAGAGACCGGGCCCATACAGGCGCACCGTACAGTGCCATCGATCTAACGACCCCAGTGTAGAGTCTACGACATGCCACACTGGGACCACCGACGTTCGGAAGCAGGCGCCCCAACGCGCCAGCCGCCGCGACCAACTTGGGCTCCAGTCGCCGGAAATGCTCGCCGAACGTCCAACGACTGTCGAGGACCAGCCCTAGGTACTTCAGCCAGGGCTGAATGATGGGTGCATACTTAAACATGCTTAATTCAGTAATTTTGTAAGCCATCTCTACAGCCCTCGAAACTTTCGCACAGAATTTTGTTAATTTTTTTAGCGTATTTAATCCTTTATTTATATCCAAAGCATTAGTGGCGGGAACGTAAATTTTATGTATTTTAGTGAATATATGGATGATTGTGACATTTTCTAGTAAAATATGGACTCAACTTTGAAATATGGTAAAATATGGAAAAATATGGAAAATAAAAGTTGGTTTTTCACAGTCTAAATATGACAGTCCATGTAAAAAACACATTCTAGACCGAAAATCGCGTAAATTAAAAATATGTGTTTACATATTAATCCGGGCCCTAGTCATAAGGGTTGTTCATCCAAAATTTTATTTTTATTTTCGGATGAAACTATTGTTTTTATTTTTTTATAATGTAGTATTAAAAAATACATACAACCCAAATTTTTATTTTTTTATAATGTAGTATTAAAAAATACATACAACCCAAATTTTTTTAATTTTAATCACCAATCCCTATTTTTTTAATATGTCAAAACAACGTTTGCCGGGTCAGCTAGTTTTAATATTTTCAACAGTTTTGGCGCAATTTTGAAAGCTATAAGTAATAAAATTGACTTACCGCCAACATCTGAAGCGTTTGAACTCTTTGAATGTGATCGCGAACGACTTTTTGACTTCGATTTCGACTTACTTCTAGATCTTGACTTAGATTTACTTCTGGATCTGGATTTTGAATGTGACCTGAGAAATAATAAATAACAATAAGTAATAAGCAATTAAATATATTAAATAAGTAGTTTATAATGTTGTTACCTAGATCGACTCCCTGATTTGTCCTTGGCTTGGTCGTCAATCATGAGATTTGGTGAATTTGATCTGCTGTCAGCTACATCCGGTCTAGCTTCTGGGCTCTTCGATCTTGATGACGCACTTCCTGACCTAGACCTGGACTTCCTGCTTTTAGGACTTCCACTACGCGAACGTGATCCACTTTTAGCGCCCTGAGATTTAGGGCTTTGTGATCGTGACTTTGGGCTCTGCGATCTTGACTTTGGGCTCTGACCAGATTTTGGGCTACCTGACCTAGAACGAGCGCTACCAGACCTAGATCTAGCACTGCCTGACCCACTACGAGATCTTGATCTAGATTTTGATGCCCTGGGACTTCTAGATGCTCTGGATTTTGGACTTGACGAAGCAGATTTATTGCTCTGTGCAGAGCCTGATCTATTTGAACCTGCTGGGGAGTTTGACTTTGAACGCGACGCGTTAGATGCGTTCGAGGATTTCCGTGATCTAGCAGAGCGATTGGACTTCGGAGATTCACTGCCAGATTTTGCGGGACTGCGGGATACCGATCTGAAAATATTCATGTTGCATTGTATCTTACTGCTTATTATATAAATACATTAGAGAAATTCGAATACAGTGCAACCTTAATATACAAACCTCAATATAAAGACTTACTATTTAACAAATTCTTCACAATCCCCTTGAATTGCCCATAAGTCAATGCAAAATAAACCTTTACATTGCGAATATTATTTGCGAAAACCTCTTTATAGCGAATTTTCAATTTCAACAGAAGTAAACATACCTCTAATTAACAAATTTTGTCAAGCCAAAACCTTTATATAAAGTTCCCACCAATATGTAACTCTTAATCTAATAGTATGTGATTCATTAAACAATCATTGTTGTTTGATGGTAATGTAAACACTTCTGCTCGTCACTATTTATAGAGATTGAAGTTAAAAAAATAAAACTATATTTTTACCTCTTAATAACAAATCTAGACCAACCTTACTTCAATATAACAAACCTTGGTTGAACTAATAACTTGATATAACAAATATTTTCTTGTTCCCCTCCGGTATAAGTGAGAGTGAAAGTTATAACAGCAAAATCTCTCTACAACATACCAAAAGATTTGGGCCTGTCCAGAACTAATATCAATTTATTCTTGGAACATACTTCGAAGTCAACCCTTATGTTCGTATCAAATTTGGTTACAGAGAGAGTGGAGCTTGGACAGTAAAGGTGAGCATTTAACGCACATTACACATAAACCTACACCTGGGTCGCAAATCCCAGGCACTGTTGAAGCTTCTCTCCCTGCAAGGAAGGACTTGACACCCACACGGTGAATCCATAGAATTCTAAGAGGTTTCGTCTCTTGAGGTTGCAGTGTATATAAATCTTAATATGATACATATTTACCGAGACTGACTGCCTTCTTTACCAGATGGCGCCGGACTAGCACTCTTGCTGCGACTTGCACTGGAGCCACTGTCAGAATCAGAACCAGAGTCAGTGTCTGAAATGAAAAACAATGTTTTATTGCTTTTTCTTTTGCCAAACTCATCTAATTTGATGTTTATTAGTTATAATATTAGTAATTTTTATGTGTGTTAATAGATTTTCTAACAATGTTGACTTGTCAGCATATCTATGTATGGATGTGAGATGAAATTCAGTTTCAAGTTACATATTTACGTACCTCAGTTATATTAACAATAATCATGTATTAAGAAGGTCACCTGAGTATTTGTGTATAAAATCTTTAGAAAAATATCATTGAACTAAACCCCTGGTAATTTAAGATCACAGATTAGTAACTTCTGATTTTTTTTAATTGCAAAATGTCATCTATTCGTTAATTTATATCTAATTTGGTCTCTATAAAAAAGTGACTTTTGGAAAGCACTTACAATGTGAGCTTTAAGCTCAACAGAAGTGGAATGCAGCTATTGCTTTACATGTTTATCTATTGATTATAATAAATTTATTGTGTTTTAAATCATCGTATGACTATCAATACATGAAAAATACATTACAAACAAATCATTAGGTAAACTTAATTCTCCAAATAAAAACAAACATCTGGAAATATAAAATCGACAAGTCAACGACATACGAAATAGCATATTATTTCTGGGTTACTATTTGCACTCGAAATTAATATAAATAACATATATTTTAAATAACTTTGATGAGACGCGGTTAACTTACCCACTGAGCCTCTTCTTCCTTTTGGAGCCATTTTAATGCACAATACCAACAACTATCCAATTATTAATTATAATTAGGAATTTGAAATAAAAATACTACACTTAGATCAAAAAGAAAACACTTATTTAAAACTTCGATATGCAATCATAATACCTCATTTTCTTGTTTTACTTCCTAATGCCTATGTTATAGTTTAACGCTGACATATGTCAACGTCCAACTCGTTTGACTGATGGCTGTATTGCCATTTAATTTTTATTCAAAATTTTAATACTATTTAGAAAGTAGTAAAATAAAGCTTTAAAAAGCACCTTTAATACAACTATTTGACAAAAATTATACTTTACAATTAATTTTTAGTTTCGATGAAAACAATAATTATAACTATTAGTATCATGAGTGTGGACTGATTATCGTTTGATTTATTACTGTTTAATCATTAATGTATAGTTATTTACAATCGTTTTGAAATTTACAGCATACAATGTCACATATGTATTTATTTAAACAAAATAAAATAATTAACAACTCTCATATGTATTCTTGAAAAAAAATTAAACAGTGGTTTATAATTAACAACTTTTAAAAAATACAGTTTGTTTGAAAATTTGTTCCTACTACATATTTAGTTGACGATGTTGACTTATGATCATTTTTCGAAGTTCTTCAAACATTTTTTTTAATATTAAAAAATAACTTCATATCCGCCTAATGTTTACCAAAATTCTTAAGGGTCCTTAATAATAATGCTTTTATTTATTTTTTTAAGTAGTTAAAAAAAATTATCTATTACCATTTTGAAAATAGAACAGAAAACATAATAAAAATAAGTTTTAGTTGTTATTCAAGTGAACCTAGCCAAAAGACACAAAAAGAATAAAAAATATATTATTTTGTTTGAATTATGGCATCTATTTATTTTGCTAGTTAACGATAAGTTTTTACTTCTTAGCAAGACGGTCTTCTCCATTAACAATTTAAGCCTCAATCAAAAGAGATGATACGTCTCGCGTACTGAATTATATGTATTTTGTTTATTGTGTTAATATTTATTTCATTGTCAATGTTACTTAAATTACGTGGAAACTGGTTTTTAATTTTACTATTTAACTTTATTATCCTCCAACGATTCTTCTGTTCCTCTGTAACTATATAGTAAGACATATTAAAACAAACATTAAAAAGCATGCGAGGGTTTCCTAGAACAGTTCTTTTGGTTTAAAAATATGTGCTCTTGTATTTCATTCAACTTGAGTTTTATAAAGGATTTATAATAAAGTCAATAGAACATAATAGTGAATTAACCATTTGTCTAGTGTATATAATAATAAGCTTTGAGTGTGTAACATAATAAATTTGAAATTACTTAGGAAGTCTTATGTCAAAAGTTTTGATGAAAAAAAATATTTATTTGTATGATATTCAACTCTATTCCACATTAATAAGGTTTAAAACTAATTATAAAATCATATTACTACTTAAGTAACCTAAGCGATGGCTTGCATCTGTTTCTGAATGGACGTATTCAAACACGAGTGGCGACCATTTTTCTTCCGGGACGTTATAACGTCAGTTGAACGATGGCGGCCGTGGCAGACGTTTGTGCCGGCCTGGCGCAGCACAAAGCCACTTTATTACGAGAACTATGTGATACAAATGTTTTAGATGTACTCGTTAAGAAGGGTATATTCAGTTTAAATGACCTAGAAGCAGTTACCAGTGCTTTGGATAGTGATAAGTGTAATTTCTTTATAGAAGTTGTTAGTAAACAAAGCGGTGTTAAGTTGCGTGATCTATGCGCTATACTTTACAACGAATGCCCGAAACTAGCGAAGGAGCTTATGAATGATAAGCCGAGACATATCAATGGTATGATTTTTTTAAAATATATAAGTAGTATACAAGTGAGTAACTTCTAAAAAACGGTCTCACTTTCATTAGACTAAATTTGTATCAACTTTCAAACTATCCTGACGTCAAATTGTATGTCATTTGTTTATTATTAGAGTGGTTTATACAAGATATTAAAACGAATCAATCAAAGAAGCCGAATATCTAAAATGACCACAGTAATTGCATAAGATAAAAAACCCAAATAAGCATTTGATTGGAAAATTGCATGTCGATTGTCAAAAAGAAGGGGAGAGTTGTTATTGAGATTAATGTCCATACAAAGATAAACCGACTTTATCATAATGGGATTAAGTTTAAATTTAATTATAGCTATCAACGCAAAATCATTCAGTATTGTGAGCACATGCGGGTGCGTTCGGAAGTTGACCCTGCCATTGTGGAAAGTAATTGTTTTATTGAGTGATTGTAAGACACAATTGGTCATAAATGTTTTATGTTTCTTTCAGTTATATCGAACAACTTTGAATTATTTAATACTTATTTAACTGTTTCATTCTTAATAAAAAGTTTAATACATATATAAAATTGTTGTCCCATTTGACTCGTTCTGTTTTTAAGGACACAAAAAGTACGTCGAACCCTGCTAGTCCTTGTATATTGTGATGTTCTTAGAATTTAAATAATAACGGCTATGTTCCTAGAAAACATAGATAATGTAAGATAATATTTGGCCTCTGTTGATAATAACGAATTAGATTTTATATATTAAGTACAGGAAATTATAAATCATTAATGTATTTATATCATAAGTACATACATTATAAATACGAAAGGTTCTTATATTGTTTGGGGACTTTCATAGATCATACATCAGCCCCATGAATCACATTCCTACATTGTTAATGTTTTGTAACTTCTGTAAACAAAAAAGACTGAACGTATTTGGATGAAACTTTACAATAATTTAGCTTAGACACCGGGATAAAGGCTGTAATTTATACCAGGATTTCGTTAGTTCCCAAGATATCACGACTTAACGGGTGTAGTAGTATACTTACCAGACACATTATAAATGTCTTTGCTTTTTGATTAGGTACCATGTATATTGTTTTAACACCCTATATACAATTCTTTCTAGCCAGTAAAAAAAATCCCGCGATTGTAGCCGCGGTCAAACACTTGTATATGTTTTAGTTTAATATTTATGTGTATAAAATTATATAAAGTTGCAAATTGCACTATGAATATTAAGTATTTGAGTAAACAAGTTGAACTGGGTAATAATAATAAACAATGTTACGTCTAGTGGAAGAATTTTTTAAATAATAGCATTTGAAAATATAATGTGTTTCAACTAATTATAGTGTTAAAAAGAAATTTTTTCGTCGTACTATTAGACGTATCCAAGTCAAATTTTACATATTGATATATTATTTAGATATAATTGGTAATATATATTTGCCACCTTAAAAACGGAGAATTAATATTGATTTTAAATATGTATTTTACACTTTTTTATATTGATTCACACTTTTACATTTGACGTAGTAGGTATATCCTTGTTTTTCTCGAAGTTTGCAAACATAACAAAGAAAGAGAGAAGATTCGAGAAAACTAAATCTCTTTAACAATTTTTCCTACAATACTTGAAATCTTTAATATTTTTACAGATTCACGTAATTATTTTTCATTCGATACATATTGTGTCCCGAGTCAAGGAACAAATTATTAAGGAATTAAAATAGATGTTTGATCTAATTTCAAATCACAATTCTTTAATTTAAATAATAAAATATAATACACGAATGTTAACCTACGTGTACTTATAAATAATTTAAAATTTGTGATATATTTCTAACTTAAATCCTACTTTTATTATTATTTTGATGATATAAGCCATTTAGTAATGTAATCTGCGCTGTTAATGGTGTCAAGGCTATTGTAAACAAACAAGGGGTTGTCTGAACCAGATGCTTGAACGTACCTATTGTGATCTCATTTTGATTGATGTATCGGAATTATTTGTTTAAAAAATCTTAAATATATACATGTATATGTATGTATGTAAGTATATGTTAGAGGTAGATGACAAAATAACAAGGCCCATTCTAGTTTAAAATAATAAGAATAAACTCGTAGAAAATATTATTTATATTCTGTTGTTTATTTATTCTGATTTAATTTAGATTATTTCAATATATGTATATATTCTTTGTACATTACGTAATTATACTTATTATTCCCTCAATTATTATGTACGTACTAACCTCGCCATGTTTATTAAGATACGATGAGCAGTCGCTAATTCTTTTAATATTTATGAACAGCACTTATAGAATGTTGTGTTTCACATCAAGTGATGTTTAAGAGATTTTTTTTTTTAATAAAATGCGCAAAAACGTATAATCAAAACAATAAATAATGTGATACATAAGAAAAACATATATCTAGGTACAGAAATAAAATAACAATATTTATGAAGACTCTTCTCTTTAACCAAAGTACTATAATCCATCCAGTTCTTTTTCTTCGTTACCCGTCTATTTTCTAGGTACAACAAAAAAACTGTTTCTAATCAAATACACGCTAATATTTCTTGATCAGAAATATTAACAGTCTTATAGTATAGCCAGTTATTTAGGAAATACGTCTGAAAGCCTCGTTCTAGACTTCCTATATAAATACCTATAGAAGAATGTGCAAATCTATGTTTACGACGTAGAGTGAACCTTTTAAAGTTATTCCTTTATTTAAATTTCTCATTGTAATCTACCTTCCGTAACCTGATCCTCGTATTAAACCAACATATCAACCCTTTCGAGCTGGGGATCAAATATGAATACTTTATATCGGCCTCAATACAAAGTCTCTGTACGTAATTCAACATCAATCTCTGAACCGGTTTATTTTATGATTAATTTCTTTAATATTCATTAATTGAAAGACTCAAATTTCAATGTCATTAATCATTAAATTAACGTATGTATGCAAGTGATGTCATGGTCATAAAAATTGCAATTAACTCACGTCTACAACTGATTGTGTCTTATTTGTTTCTACTCTACTCGTAAATATTGGTAATTGTTTTTATAATTTTTATGAGAATTTCTAGATTTTATTGATATTGACTTTAACAGGGTTGTACATTGCAAGTTTTTTGTCACTAAGCGTAGATCAACCCTTATTTTTGATTCAGTAAACTTGATGCTTGCTTGATGTAAGGAAGAATCCAAAGAGAACGGATAATTATAATTACCTCGTTTATAGAAGTATTGTTATTACTTTGCGTGGACGTTAGAGCCAAGAATATTTGCAACTTGCATAACGACTGGCAAACAATTATTTCTCTTAGACAAGTTAGCAACCGACTAATACTAACTGTTTACCTAACTGTTAGATAATTCCACTTAGGTAATATTACAGTAGTTATTCCTTTTGTTTAGGCAATAAATACTGTTAAATAATAATAATAATTTCGATCTTAGCTATAAAGTAAACTGATTTATGGCTTGTAATGATTAGTTTAAAATAATAAATTTTCCTTTATTTCCATCGAGTATTTGAAAGAAAAATAAAACAATAATACAAAAGATATATTGTGATTTGGTTTCTATATTTATAATTTTTCATAAAGTTAAATACCTACATCAAAATTTTCACTCGAAATAAAATCCTCAAAATATTCAAAAATCAAGAGTTATTGTATCAAATATCGACTGATTCTTGTCTACAATAAATAAAATCTCCTTACCAAATATATAGCTGTATATATTTTCACTATGTTATTATGATATGAGTATATTATAAAGGAACTATAAGTACGGTGTAATAGCAATCGTGTGTCCACATTCGTCATAGCCATGTCTTTTTGCACATTACCTCAAGCAATCTTGTGGTTTTAACGTGATAAATTCAACTGTCATTTTATAACTTAATCTGTACAGTCACAGTTTGTCTAGTCACACAAATTACATTTGGAGCCTGTCAAATTCATTTTTTTTTCATTCATATCATTCATTTTTCATTCAAAAATGTGCCTAATTTGTTTTAAACTCATCATATTTTGTGTGAATGAATGAATGAACGAAAGAATGAATGTATGGAAACTTCAAGTAAGATTCTCTTAAAGGATACGTACTAATACGTACGTATTTTTTCCAAAATTAGGTTTAATTGCATAAGTATCAATAATTTTTTTGTGATTCATTTGGTCTTTGGAGTACAATAAAAATATAAAAAATGCTATATTTGGTTATACTTTTTTACAATATTCTAAATGAAGCCGAATCAACGTTTTACAATATCCAAGGTCATTTGTTGTTACTTTTCTATAAAAACTATTTCTAGTGACTCAATTTATTCGATTTTTCTTAAGTCTAGAATTAGATAAAGATTATTTAATATATTAAAGAAATATATTTTATAGTTTATACATATTACATATAAACAAGTTAAACAGTTTATACATATATAAACACGTTACAGATAAATCTTCTATATATATAAAAGAAAGTCGTGTTAGTGACTCCACTTATAACTTAAGTACGGCTGAACCGATTTAGCTGAAAATTGACAGAGAGGTAATTTAGAGCCGAGAAATTGCAATAGGATACTTTTTATCCCGTTCGACAGCATTTCCGTGGGACTTGACATGAAACGTCAGTCACTATAAAACGTGGAATAACGAAACACAATTGACAGCTATGCAATTGACATATAATGACAGATATGTAATGACGTGTGGATGAAAATTTGATATTTGTAAGAAATCTACTATATAAAAATAAGTCCGGTTTTCCATCCTGACGCTATAACTTCAGAACGAACGAACCCCCACCACAACAAACCACCGAAAAAACAAAAAATGTGGTTTACAAAGGACCACTTCAATGAAACGGATAATTTGCGGACACGTATAACGCTTCGATTCGGTATCTACTTTGGATTCACTTTTATTTACTTAGAGAAGTTCAACTAAATAACAATTCATTTTTGTAATCGAAATGAATTCATTA